AAAAAAAAAAAAAAAAGGAGGAAAGATCCAGAGTTCCAGGACAGCCAGAGCTACATAATAGAGAGGCCCTGTCTCAAAAAAAGAAAGAAAAAAAAAGAAAAGAAAGAAAAGAAAGAAACTTCCCATCTTGTATTTGGAGTCTAGAGATGAGTTTGGACATCATTTTTGTTCATCCTTTAAGGATGTTATCTGTTATCACTAGGCCCATGTTTTCATGATTAGGCATTAGTCTTAAGTGATATTCTTGTGTGAATTTGCTTGCTTGCTTTTCCACAATTTATTGTTCTCTGTCTTTGGTGTTTGACAGATTTATGCCATAATGTGGTCAGGTGTGGGGTTCTTTATTTAGCTTGGTGATGCTTAAATTCTTGTTTGTTTGTTTGTTTGTTTTGTTTTTCAAGACAGGGTTTCTCTGTGTAGCCCTGGCTGTCCTGGAACTCACTCTGTAGACTAGGCTGGGCTCAAACTCAGAAATCCGCCTGCCTCTGCCTCCCAAGTGCTGGGATTAAAGGCGTGCGCCACCACTGCTTAAATTCTTTTATTTAGAATGTGACCATTATCATTTCAAGTAATGTATCAGTAGCATTCTTTATTATATTTCTGGGATCCCCATAAATACTGGGATTTTTAGCTTGTATGTTTGTGGTTTCTTGTAACATATCTATACTGATTTTCTAATCTTATTTTTGCATTGATGCTTGTTTTAATGATATATATATACCAGTTTCATTTAAGTACCTTTTCATGTCTTTTTAAAAAATTTATTCTCTCATATATGAATCCCCACTGCAGTTTCCCCCTCCGTCCTCTCCGCCAAGTTCCCCTCTCCCCACCTCCGCTCTTCTCTAGATAGACTCCTCCTCCGCCTCCCTTCAGAAAAGGGCAGGCCTCTCAGGGATGTCAACCAAACACACCATATCAAGTTGCAATAAGACTAGGTACAAACCCCCATATTAAAGCTGGATGAGGCAACTCAGTAGGAGGAAAAGGGTCCCAAGAGCAGGCAATAGAGTCAGAGACATCCCACTCCCACTGTTAGGAGTACTACAAGAACACAAAGCTACAGAACTATAGCAAGTATGCAGAGGTCCTAGGTCAGACCCACACAGGCTCCATGATATCTGCTTCACTCTCTATGAGCCCTGGTTAGTGACTCTGGGCAATGTTCTTGTGGTGTCCTTGGCCCTTCTAGCTCCTACAATCCTTCCTTCTTTCTCTTTCACAGAGTACTCAGTGCACCTACTATTTGGCTTTGGGTCTCTGCATCTCCTCTCAGTTGCTAGATGAAGCTGCTCTGATGACGATTATGCTGGCCTATGATGTATGAGTGTAGCAGAATATCATTAGGAATCATTTCATTGAGGTTGTTTGTTTACCAGTTTGGTTCTATCCTAGGTCTCTGGGCTTATCCTAGACTCTGGTTCCTGAACCTCTAGGTAGTATCAAGTGTGGGCTCCCTCTTATGGCATGAGCCTCAAGCTGGACCAGTTACTGATTGGCTAGTCCCACAATTTCTGTGCCACCTTTACCCTAGCACATCTTGCAGGCAGGATAAATTGTAGGTAGAAGGTTTTGTGGCTGGGTTGGTGTCCCAGTTTCTCCACTGGAAGTCTTGCCTGGTCACAGGAGATGTCCGGTTCAGGCTCTGTACCCTCCATAGCTAGGATTCTTTGCTAGCATCACCCTCATAGATCCCTGGAAGTTTCCATTGCTCTAGGTTTCTACCTTGAGCCAAAATGCTCCCCAATTCCAGTTGTCTCTCCCAGTACTCTCTCCTTCCATCCCCCCAAGATATTTTATGTTATTAGTAGCAATTGTGAAGGATATTGTTTCCTGACTTCTTTCTTAGTCCATTTGTTGTTTATATATGTAGGAAAGCTATTGATTTTTTTTTTTTTGAGTTAATCTTGTATCCAGCCACTTCACTGAAGGTGATTGCCAACTGGTAGGATTTGGGGGGGAGTCACTTATGTGTACTACCATATCATGTGCAAATAGCGATACATTGACTCCTTCCTTTCCAGTTTGTATCCCCTTGATCTCCTTTACTTGTCTTACTGCTCTAGCTAGCATTTCAAGTACTATAATGAATAGATGATGTAGACAGTGGACAACCTTGTCTTGTTCCTTTAGTGGAATTGCTTTTGAGTTTCTCTCCACTAAATTTGAGGTTGACTGTAGGCTTGCTGTTGACTATTGCCTTTATTGTGTTTATAGGTATGTGCCTTGTATCCCTAATCTCTCCAAAACTTTTGTCATGAAGGGGTGTTGGATGTCAAAAGCTTTTTCAGCATCTAATGAGATGATTGTGTGGGGTTTTTTTTCTTTCAGTTTGTTTACGTGGTGGATTACATTGACAGGTTTTTGTATGTTGAACCATCCCTACATCTTTGAGATGAAGCCTGCTTGATTGTGGTAGATGGTCTTTTTGATGTGTTATTGGATTCGGTTTGCAAATATTTTATTGAGTATTTTTGCATCATGAGGGAAACTGGTCTAATTTTCTTTGAGTCTTTGTGTGGTTTGAATATCAAGATAACTGGCCTCATAAAATGAATACAGCAGTGTTCCTTCTGTTTATATTTTGTGGAATAATTTGAGAAGTATTGGTATTAGGTCTTCTTTGAAAGTCTGGTAAATTGCCGGGCGGTGGTGGTGCACGCCTTTAATCCCAGCACTTGGGAGGCAAAGGCAGGCGGATTTCTGAGTTCGAGAGTTCGAGGCTAGCCTGGTCTACAGAGTGAGTTCCAGGACAGCCAGGGCTACACAGAAAAACCCTGTCTCGAAAAAAATAAGAAAGAAAGAAAGAAAGGAAGGAAGGAAGGAAGGAAGGAAGGAAGGAAGGAAGGAAGGAAGGGAAGAAAGAAAGAAAAAAAGAAAGTCTGGTATAATTCTGTGCTAAAACCATCTGACCTTGGGTTTTTTTTGGGGGTGGGGGAGTAGAGAGACTTTTAATACTGCTTATATTTCCCTAAGGGTTATAGATCTAGTTGTATTATTTACTGATCTTGATTTAACTTTGGTAAGTGGTATCTATCAAGAAAATTGTCCATTTCTTTTAGATTTTCCAACTTGTAGAGTGGCCGATTTGACCTCTGGTCCAGCAGGCACTCTCCATCAGAGTTGGAGGCTGGACTTCCTGGCAGTTAGCCTGGTCTTTGGTCCAGCAGAGGTTCTCTGCTCTGACTGGCATTTCCTGCACCTGTTCACTGATAGGGCTACACCTGAGCAGTTCCTGCCCGTGTAGGAATGGCAGTGGGAAGGTAGGAATGGTTGACTTGGGTCTTTGGGATCTAAATAGAGAATGTGGAAGGGTTCTGAGGTGGACCTTTTACCTGTTCTGACTGGCATGGTGGGCACCTGAGCCTAGATGTCTACCTCACCTCTTCTTTTTTCTTCTGTTTGTTTCAAGATAGGGTTTCTCTGTGTAGCCCTGGCTGTCCTGGAACTCTCTGGCCTCAAACTCAGAGACCTGCCTGTCTCTGCCTCAAGCGTGCTGGGATTAAAGTCGAGTGCCACCACCACCGTCTGGCTAATCACCTTTTCTTAATATTTGTTTCTTTTTTTTTTTATCTTATGTTTTTGCTAGCTTCCAATTATTACACATAATGGATCTCATTACATTTTCATACATGTATGTAATGTTACTCTTGTTACCTTCCCCCTCCATCCTTGCCCCAACTTGTCCCCCTTCTCCTTTCACAATTTTTTGTTTTGTTTTATGAGGTAGTGACCCAGTGATTTTCATTGGGTTGCTTATAAGGCATGGGGAAAGGTTTGTTTACAGGACAGGAGTATGAGCACCTTACAAGTGGCAATATCAGTGGAGAAAGTGTTCTCTCAATCATTGTGAATAGTCCTTAGGAAGGTATAGGAATCCATGAGCCCTTTGCCTTCCATGATAGGATATCTTTTTTTTTTTTTTTTTTTTTTTTGAAACAGGGTCTCATGATATAGCCCTGGCTACCCTGGAACATACTATGTAGACCAGGCTGGCCTCAAATTCACAGAAACCCACCTGCTTCTGTTTCCTGAGTGCTGGGATTAAAGGTGTGCCCCACCATGGATGGTTTGCTTCTCCTTTTGGTATGTGTATTAGTTTCTGTTGTGACACACCATGGCCAAAAAGGACTTGGAAGGGCAAAGGGTTTATTTCTTACAGCTTTCTGTTTATAGTGAGGGAAATCAAGGCAGGCGCTGAAGCAGATGGAGGAGCTGCTCACTGGCTTGCTTTGGCTTTCTCTACACTTGCTTAATCTGCTTTGTTGTACAACCCAGGAGGACTTGCTCTCAGAAGTTGTGAGCTAGGCACCGCCCACAGTGGCTAGGCCCTCTCACATCAATCATTAATCAAGAAATTTCCCCACAGACTTGCCTGCAGTCAATCTGATGGGGGCATTCTCTCGATTGAGGTTCCCCTTTCAGATGACTCTACAACATTAGTTCTCAACCTTCCTAGTGCTGCGACCTTTTAATACAGTTCCCCATGGTGTGGTGACCCCACCCCCCAGCCCAACCATAAAATGATTGTTGTTGCTGCTTCATAGCTGTAGTTTTACTACTGTTACGAATCATAATGTAAATATCTGTGTTTCTGATGGTCTTGGGCAACCCCTGTAAAAGGGTTGTTCACCTCCGGAGTGGGCTCAACCCACAGGCTAAGAACCACTGCTCTGGCTTATGTCCAGTTGACAAGTTAGTCAGGATCGTATGTTTGCCAATGTTTTTCTTAGTCAGTGACGAGTGTGAGAAACCGGGGAACAGGTTCTGAGCCACGCTGTCTTCCTCCAAAGACCTCAGTTTTGTTCCTCCTAGTAGGCAGCTAGCACATGGCTGCTTGGGAGGTCTCGGCTGCGGCCCTTCTCTAGTCACAAGTTTGGAGGTTTTGGGGACAGGTCTACCTCTGCTTTTATAACCATCAGCAGTTTCTTTTCTATCATTTCTTAGACCCAGCCACACACGTGCACTTCTGGACTTGGCAAGTGCCGGATTGTATGCAGACGTGGACTCCCTGTCTTGTGGGATCTTGGCTACTGCGATAGCAGTGTCTTCAGTTATCTCCTTGAAAGTAGGCCTTGGAGTGTAGATCATCGAGTGCTCTGAGGGAGGGGAAAACTTCAGGAAAGCCAACTTCTTCAAAAGCTTGTATTTCTTTTTCTTCTCAGTCCTGTTTGGATTTTCTCTAATACCTGCAGATCATTTTCTGTTTGCTTATTTCATTTGGGTAATTCATCCAGCTCAGACTTATCCCTTGAAGAAAAGGTAGCCTGGTAGTGTCTGCTGGGCTGTAGCTGCAAGTTCAAGTCTGGGGGACTCGGCTTACAAAGCCCTATAGTCTGGCCAAGAACAGCTTCTCTGGCCTTACCTTTCCACAGCTGTCTGTCTGGTTCATCCCCTGCTCCTCCTAGACTGCATTCTCACCTTTTCTTGTTCCTCTGCAGTCTTCTCCAGTGCCATCAAATCCTGGCTTATTAGCTAGCAGTTCCTATTCCCGATCCTCACAGCGTGGCCTCCATCCTCCCTCTGCTGTTCATCTCAGCACCCTGTGAGGTTGTGGTCACGGAAACACCAATTTCTGATGCCTTACAGAATAAACTACCATTACAGTTACTCAATCAGATGGTGGCAGACTGTGGTCCCCCTGTTGTAACCAGTCAAATTTGCTACATATCTTGTAGGTTGAAGAATCTTCTGCCAAAGAAGATCCAAGCAAAACAGTGATTAGTGAGCAGGAAGTTCTGGAAAGGCAGTGGAGAAACATGAAAGCCATTCTGCAGGCGTATCGCTTTACAGGTAGGACATTGTTCTCATCTGATTGATTTGGAGTTAGTTGGCTAGACTTGGTTCCCCAGAACTTACTTGTACACACTGCCATACATACACAAGCTGACATGCTGGTTTCTAGGCTTATCTGCTTATAAGATCCACCTCTTTAGACAGTAAAAGACGGGTGGTTGGTGCCTGGCTGTAACCATTTCTCTTCACAATCGTTTGTTAGACCCTCTGCTAGAACTTTCTTTACTGCTTGCCTGAGTTATAGTCATGGTTATAGTTTGAACATCAGATCTCTGTTTCACCATAAATAATAATTTGTTCTTCAACTATACCACAGAGAACTGTGGGAAAAACTGGAGACTCTCATAAACTGTAACTCAGGGAATAAAAAGAATACACAGAGTAAAATTTTCGAATTTTTCCCTCAATTTGAAATCTAGGGTATCTTCTCACTTCCCCATCCATCCATAATTTTAACAGCTCAGGTTCGTGTGAACCAGTCAGGAGGAGTGTCTGATGCCATTTGTTTGAGCAGCATTTGTGCGCACTGTCTGTATATCAAGCCTTGTGCAAGGTTACTGGAATGCCCAGACGGCAACCCATGACCTTTGTCTGACATTTGAGGGGTGTTGCTCACTGTTTGCCTAGGGCTCAGCGGGAAGCTGACCAGTCGTGGAGTCTGTGTGTACATCAGCACGGCCTTTGAGGGAAACCTACTAGATTCCTACTTTGTGGACCTCATCATAGAGAAACCACTCCGGATCCATCACCATTCCATCCCAGTCTTCATCCCCCTGGAAAAGTTAGCCACAGCACACCTACAGACTGATGTTCAGCGCTTCCTGTTTAGTCTCTGGGAGTACCTAAATGCCTATGCGGGAAGGAAGTACCAGGCAGACCAACTTGAGGTATTTGTGTAGGGATTTTTGTGTCTGATTGTATTGCCCATGACAGACTTCAAAAGAACATGCTTTCTTAAAGAAGAAGGCTCATTTATTTGTGAGATAGAGTTCTTTAATCCTAGCTGTATATGTGGCCCAGGGTGGTCTTCCATTTAGGCCAGTATACTGGCCTCTGCCTCCTAAATGCTTGGGATTACCCATGTGTGCCAACATAGCTGGTTTTATTTTTAATATATTTATTTTTGCCAAGGTTAGAGATTGGAGGCCCTGTGCATTCTGGGAAAGCACTTTGTCACTACAGCTACAGCCCCAACCCTGAAGCAGAAGTCTGTCCATTACCTTTCTTTACTCTGGTTGGTTGGTTGGTTGGCTAGCTAGTTTGAAATAGGTGTTCACTCTGTAGCCCATGCTGGCCTGGAACTTATTGTGAAGTCCCAGCCACTTTCAGACTCAAGAGCAGTCTTCCTGCCTTGGCATTGGGGGTGATTATGGGCATTTGTCACCACATCCGGCTTTCCACTCACTTTCTAGTACTTGTTTCTTACTGGCAAATGATTTCCCTCTCTTCATTTCCCACCCTTTTGTAACTCTCAGTGATGCTGAAGACCACAGTCCTCATGGCGATCCTCACACTTCTATCACACATAGACAGAGTTGCCATGCTGTTACTTCAGCAGGGACTTTGAACGCTGATGTCATAAGTACAGGTGTCTAGTACCACAGAAGACTGAGCTCTGGCCTGCCTTCTCAAGAGTGGAAACCCTTGCAGTAAATACAAAGGAAATACATGGTTCTAGCTGAGCAGTTCTGCCGCTACCCAGGCATCAGTTAAACAAAATGTCTTTCCACACAAGATAGTCTTGGTGAAACTTGGCAGAAATGGTATCTCCTTCTACCTGTTCCCTGATCATGCCCTGGAAGTGCTTCCTGCCAGACTCTTGGTGGCCTTTGTCTCTCTCATTGAGACAAAGTGTTGTGTGGGGTCAGGCTGCAGAGGTCGCCCCATACCGCAAGGTGCTTCTGGAGCAGTAACCACCTTCTCCATCCTTCCCCTGGTAGAGTGACTTCTGTGCTTTCCTCACGGGACCTTTGCAGAGATACGCCCTGTGCAACTTGCTCTCGTTCACCTATAAAGTGGAACAGGGATGCCAGACCTTCTCCTTCAGTGCCAGGTTGCTGTATGAAGACCTCACATCAGCTCTTCCCACGGATGTCACTGTGACAAGGCCAGGTAGGAAGAACAATGCCAGCCGGGTGGTGGTGGCGCACGCCTTTAATCCCAGCACTTGGGAGGCAGAGGCAGGCGGATTTCTGAGTTCGAGGCCAGCCTGGTCTACAGAGTGAGTTCCAGGACAGCCAGAGCTACACAGAGAAACCCTGTCTCAAAAAACGAAAAAAAAAAAAAAAAAAAAGGAGGAACGATGCCTCGCTGAAGAAACAGCACGTTATGGTTCAAGCCAATGGAGTGGAGTGTGTGGGGTAACATCAAGTAGACCACTTAGAGCCCTCTGGTCACGTACCAGAAGTTTACCCGATACAAAGAAAAATGTGGTTCTCCAGTTTTTCCTCTTTGTAAATGTTAAATATCACTATCCCTTTCCTCTCCCAGATCAGCCAGAATGCTTTCATCTTACAATTAATTTTCACAGGCATGTGCTCCTCACCCCCAAGATAGAAAACTAAGGCTGAACCCTGGGATTGTCTGTGATGAAGTTAGCATACACTTAGCCCTAGGGTATATTCTGTAGGTGGCAGTTTGTCGGGGCTGCCCAGGAGACTTTGGTTTCCTCTTGTCTACAGGTACCATAATAATCTGACATAGTCTCTAATTAAGGGGGCTGGGGGGTGGGGGTGGGCAGTGTTCTGATGATGCCACAAGTTGCACGCCCACAGGTTTTAAGTTGTTCTAGTCTCTGTCTATATTTTTCTAAGTTCCTGTTCTCAGAATTGTTCTGGTGAGGCATCTTCTCTAGAGCTATAGACAAAAAAATAAGTCACATGGGCCCAGAAGAGTGGTGGTCTGGGTTCTGACTCCCTTGGTTGGATTAATAGGCTTGACAGAATCTCTTTGTTTAGGTGTGGAAGCATCATCCCCTCGTTGGGAAGAGCACAGAGCATCCCATGAAGTGCTCTTCCGTACCAAGCCCCTGCACCAAGTGTTTGCTTCATTTTCCAAAGAAACTGAAAAGCTGGATTTGAGCCTGGTCTCCTGAAAAACTGTTTCTCTATTTGGGACACATATGAAGTAAATACACTTGCACTGCCTGCAGTCCAGAACCTTTCAGCAAAAGCTGTTGGGAGAGCACATGCCTGAATACCACCATGAGAACAGATACCCACGTCATGGGAATGACAGGAGCTTGGCTGCAGACATAGACAAGTCCCTGTCTATAGGCACTGGGCAGGTTCTGGACACTTGTCCGTGATTGCTTGTTCACTTTGTACAGTGCTCCAGAATGCCTCTGCCTCCTAGAAGGACCAGTGCTGATTTGATCGTATGTATACATTCTTGATGAAAATCAGCTAAAATGGGGGTAATTGAAGACATTTTGTGAGCATTTCTAGCTTTCGTGGGAGCTATAAATCTATAAAAGGGCTTGTAGTTAAGAAGGGAGAGTATTTTCTAGACTTTTGGTTTGGAGCAGCATGTTCTAGGCCACTATTTGGTGGGAAACAGTATTTTTATACTTGGGGGTTCTGTGTATTTAATTGTTTACTATAACAATTCAGCATAGAACGGAATGCATGAAGTCACTTTAAGGAAGCATTGTTGGAAATCGGCACATTGATCAGGGAAGGCCCCCTGCCGTGTCTCCCTCCTGCCAGCTCCAGGCATGGCTGTCCTTCCCATTTCCTAGACACTTTCAGTGCCTTTTCTCTTTAACCATTGGTCTGTGGTGTGCGACAGGTATTGTTCCTTGGCTTAGGGCTTCTTGCCATCTTTAGGCCCATGTGCTGGTCAGGTACTCCCATTACAATTCCTGCCTTTCCTCTGCTCGTCCCAGAGGATCTTTACTCCACAGGCCCAGCGCTTGGGCTTCAGTCTAAGTTAGCTCCTTCCTAGAAATCCTCATGTGTGGGAGCTCCAGCCAACTCTAGGAAGAGTGCATGGAGGCTAAGCCAGGGCCCCTAACAGAGGTTTGGAACAAAAGATTCATGGTACAGGGTGAGACGTCTGTATCCCAGTAACAGAATTGCCACAACAGTCCTCAAGTTGAGTAAAGCTTTTAATAAAACAGTCCTGTTCTTTATCAACACCTGCAGATTCTCTGTTAAAGCAGTAGCAAAGGCGACTGTAGCAAGAGCTCAGAAGACAAGGCAATATTGGAAAGTTGTTTTTTGAACAGGTTAAAAATATAAATGTAGAAGATCTGTTTATATATTTTTCTTTCAGAAATAACCCCCCTTCCCAACCAGGTGAAAGGAAATATTGCACTTTCTGCTCTCGTGACTAAGGTGACACGGGGGTTCCAGAAGAACCTTTCAAGATTATCAGGAATGTTGGGGTAAGGGCCATTGACCTAACCAGACAGGAGGAAGCAGCCAGGCACAGAGCCTTCTTGGCCCTGAGCCCAACCCGTGTTCCCTGCCCCACAGCACAGGCAACTTCATTCTGCCTCTGCTGGCATCCTGCTCACAGTGGCCATGGCCTCTCTAGGGGTGAAGGGCTGAGCTGGAACCAAGGCTCTGGAAAGGCTGCTCCAGTACTATGCCTAAGACCCCTGCTTTGGGGAAGCTACAGGCACACTGAGGAGTAGGAATAGCCACCCTCAGAGCTCACATCCACACAGGAAGGCTGGAGGAAATCTGAAACCTAAATCTATGGGAATGTGCACTTCAACAGTTGGGAACACCAGGACCTGGTCATCGGCCCTTTCCCAAAGCTTTTCTCTGCTTCCAGAAAACTCTCCCTTCCAGTGTGGACCACTGTGGAGCCAGAGGCCATTCAGGGGTTGTCCACCACTTGATGGGGCAGTGTAACAGAGGAGCCATTGGGGAAGGCGGCTGGCCTATCCCGCCCCTTCAAGAAAAAGGTCAGAAGCTCCCCTTTGCCTTTCACAAAGATGGGACCTCGCCTCACAAAGCGGAAGCCATACTCTCGAAGGATGACCTGCGTCTCTTCTACCACCTGCACATGGAGAACAGAGGCAAAGTTAGAGACGACAAAGCCAAGACAGTAGGGTAGAGGAGCTTTCGGACAGCTCCAGTAGTAGTATGTACATACAGTGTGTAGTGCTTCCTCCCAAGCCCCACATGGGGGAGGACCACAGACAGCCACTCAGGCAGCACACTACCATTTCATGGCACTAATACAGGTCCAAGTCAGTTTGGTTGTTAACTTTGTACCAAACTGAGACCTTTTTCACCCAAACCTGAATCTTAAATGTTTTAAATGGACCAAAAAGCCTTTTCTCCCTCCAGCTAAGGCTCTAGCGGCCTCATTACATGTTTCCTTGGCTCTGTGGCACTGCCAACATTGACTTAAGGCCCACAGGCAGGAGCCAGGAATACATGGCAAAGCACTAGGCTTCTACTTTTGTTGCACTCCCCCATTCAAACACGTGCTCAGTTATAGTGCTGAGCATACCTGGATGTTACCCATGACCCCTGTGGACTCCATCCTGCTGGCCACATTGACTGTGTTGCCCCAGATGTCATAGTGTGGTTTCCGGGCTCCAATGACTCCAGCCAGAACTCCTCCTTTGTTCATGCCTAGGGTAGAGGGAGTGGAGCATGGCCACCAGCTAAGCTTGCATTAGCTTGCAGAAGCTACCAATTTCTCTTTCATAGATGACCATCTGACCCCCACCCACCAGGCTGCTGATAGGAACACCTGTATTCCTTTTTAAACATTCCTTCACAGCTATCTCTCAGGAGTGGAGTGGCCAGCTTCAATGTGACCTTCCTAATACTTCAGACTCCTGTAAATTTGCCCAGAAGTGGTGAGGCCATTTCTCATATGAGTAGCTGGCACAAACCTCGGGAGAGAAGAATGCAGAAGGGAGTCTGAACTGCCATTGGAAACAGTAGGGATGGATCTAGCTATACTATCTCATTACTGTAGATTGCTATGTGTGGTCACCTCAAAGAGCAGAACTAAAGGTCACTTGGGTCCCCTACCAAACTGCCTTCACCTTTTAAGCCTCTGTTCTGCCAAGCTCCCCAGCACTGGCGGTGCCTTTACCTATGCGCAACATGAAGTTGTTGAATGACTGGTTGTTGATGTTTGTGAGCGTGTCCTTCATGGCTAATGCAAAGTCTGCCAGGTCAGCCAGGTGCTGCCAGCGCTCCTTGTCTGACTTCTCCTCCTGTGTGGAAGCATGATGACACTGTCAGAACCCACAGGCCATGACCGTAACAACTAGGCATAGTGGCAACAGTATGAACCCAAGGTGGCAAACTGCTAACATCCTTTTTTTTTCTTCCTCCTCAAAAAAGTATTAGCAATCTCTTTAAGACCAGCATGCCACCACTGCAGAATTCATGCATCTGTCCAGGGGAAGGAGGCCCTGTCTCAGCTGCATCCTGTGTGCCATGATCACAAGGCAGAATTCTCATTGCTCTGTTTGAGTCTGGTCCTTGCTTGGTTCCTCAAGGTTGTAAGCACCTAGTGAGCAACCTTCTGCTTGCTTTACTTAGCCTCAGAAAGGGCAGTGTAAAGGAAAACTAGATGATGCTTTGAGAACCATGCTTGCTTGTGACTGTCCATCAGAGAATCACACAGCAGGCTCCACAGGTCTATCTGAGCTCGGTGAAAAGGCCAGTCGGCAGCAGCCGGGCATTCCCACCGCTCCAGGACTGACGGTTCTTCAATGCTGTGGGGGCCCTTTGCACAAGGACCTACCTTCATTAACTTTTCATCTGATCCTCGTTTCCCACGGGCTGAGGCTGCCTGTCTCTTACCCTTCCGGGCAGGGCTGCCTCTCTAGCTACTGAGCTACCTTGCTAGTTCCAGAGTTACCTTGCTGGAGCTCGTAAAGCCATTGGTATTGACATCTGGCGTGACTCCTGAAGCCGCCATATAGGTGCTGCCAATAGTTTTGATCTTGGTGATGACCCGGAATTTCGGATTGTCCAGGAGCTGAGGACAGAATTAGTACAACTAAGGAAGAGGAGTGAGTTTGCTGTCAAGTTTGCCTGTCTACAAGGATCAATGATGCATCAAAGAGACACTCCTATAATGGCTTTGTTCATTCCATGCTGCCTTGGCACATAAGCCACAGCCTCAATTACCGTAACCTTAACACTAAGTTAAATGGCTAGTCTCCTTAGGTGGAGGAAGTCCTAAGGAAAAGTATCCAGTCAGTGTTGAATAGGGATTGAGGTAAGAGAGAAGACAATCCTTAACCCCATGAACTTGCCAGGCCGTCCCAGGATCCTCCGCAGCTCTCGGACTTTGAGTTCTGGACGGCTGCAGAAGCCCAGTTACTGTAGAAGACTCACATGGGAAGTGTGTGGAGCTTGTCTTGGGATGTTATATAAAGTGAGCTAGCTCTGACAGGAGGACACTCACAGAGTCAAAATCAGAGATGATCTCATTGAGGAAGCGTAGACACTCGATGCCACCGTTATTGATGCTCTCCTCGGTGTAGAAGTCGGCAAAGTTGGGCAAGGAGGCAAACATAACTCCAATCTCGTCATAAGACTGGCTGTACAGCTCCTAAAAAGAGACAGGGTTGGGAGGCTGGAGAGGTGGCTCAGCAGTTAAAAGCACTGACTTTCTTCCAGAGGACCTGGGTTCAAATCTCAACACCTACATGGCAGCTCACAACTGACTGTAACTCCAAGATCTGACATCCTCACACAGACATTCATCCAGTCAAAGCATGAATGCACATAAAATAAAAATAAATGCTTTTTTTTTTTTTAAAGAGGCAGGGTCAGTCTGGGTTACAGCACTGCTGCACAAATGTGAGGACCAGAGTTGAGTGCACAGAGGTGGAGGCCAGCTGGCTAGTCAGACTAACAGTGAGCCCTAGGTTCAGCAGATTGGGGACAAGCAGTAAAGGAACACACCCAGTGTGTCATCCTTCGGCCTCCATATGAGCATGTGCATACACTTACATATATCACACACAGAGCAGAGCCCAAGCACGCAAGGGAGGCTGCCTGGTAGGATGGTTTACTAAGGATTCTTCTGTTGTCCTCACCCTGATATGTATACTCAACTATCTGAACCCAACTTTGAATGGTGAGAATGAGGAGCACTCCACTCCTCCCTGGCCTCTGCATCTGTTCCTGTCCTGCCTTCCCTTGGTGATGGACTGAAATAAACCCTTTCCTCCCCAAGTTGCTTATGGTCATGGTGGTTCATCCCAGTAACAGAAACCTCTCCAGGGAAGGTCAGTGGAATGGTCAGCCACCTTGGTTTGAGAAGGTCTTTTTGGCAGAAGGGGCACTCTGGTTCTGTGACAGGGTCCCAGAGACACAGCACGTCAGCAGTGTTCAGTAGAAGAGACCCTGGGAATATCTCCTGGTTGATGTTTCTGGATAGGCCAGCCATACTTGGACTTCCAACCGCAGTTATAAAAGGGCTTTGGCTGGTGGATGCTCCCTGGCAGAAAGAATAAGCTCCACCTGAAATCCTCTTACCTCATCTCTCTTCTTGGACCCCAGGAAATGGCGTGCAACATGCTCAGGCAACATGTTGGTGACCAAGGCCTCGTTCCACCGTCGCATCTCGTAGACACGTTCTTTCTGGTCATGGACCTCAATCTTCCACAGGAATAGTGTTCGGGCCAGTTTCTCCACCTACAGACATAGGTTAGGTGAGATGTGTACTCTAAAGCCATCCAGTGGAAAGGTTTAGAACAGGGATGTTGAATATCGTGTATGGCAACACCATAAGGAAATAGCTAAATGACAGAAGAGCTGAGAGGAGTCACCTAATCAAAATGGCATCCTATAGTTGCATTGAGGACCTAGGCCTCCTGATACAGTAGAGATCCAAGCTGGGGGAGGGGGGAGGCGGCAGGGGCGGAGAGGGCTCTGCCAGAACCAAGAGGTATCCCCAGCTCTAGCTGCTCCGTTTGCGAAGTGGCTTGGGGAAGCTGTACTTCCCTGGCAAACCACTTGGGGGCATCCAAGCTAACTGTCCTTGTATGGCTACTTCATCTTTACTGAGCAGAACTTCATTACGGCCTTTCCCTTTCTCTTCTGACTCCAAGGCTAGTGTATCAGTGACCACCCCCACCCCCATGCCAGGGTGAGTGCAGAGGCCTTGAGCCCTGTCTAGGGAGCACCGCCCATCCTGGCGGAGGGCAGAGGAAGAAGCTGGGACACAGCTGGTGCATCCCATGTGACATGTTAGGTGAGGGAGCTGCTTTTTGTAGGTGCCTGGGCTTCTGAGTTCTAGGATAGCTCGCTGGGAGGCCCTT